GTTTTGTTGATTGCTTCTTATCATTATTGAATATGAGATTTTCTAGGGCTTCCCAAGTTCTAAAAATCTAATAAAATATGCTAACATAACGTATTTAGAGGATTCTATAGCTACCCAATTGCCCAAGGCAAAACAATGACAAATCTTTTTTTAGCAAAGCGGTACGAAATCTGCCGTTCTCCTTTAAACTACCTCGCTGGCCGAGTGGTCGCATATGCGACTGCCGGGCAAGGGGTCTCGGGTTCGATATCCGGGTCGGGCAAAGTACTACTGGGTTTTTAAAAAAAAATCTAAGCAGCAGGGAGTCTGGAAATCTGCCCGGTATATGGCAATAGGCTCCTGCCCTAGTACATGGGATTCATAACATAAATAGTGAAAAGTGGGTGTAACATTGTACAGTGGCATTAAGTGCCGTAACGTGCACCTCTGCCTACCGCTTTGAGGGTAAAAAGGCGTGATATTATGTTATGTTAAACTCGTAGGTATTATTTTTTGTAGCAGTGCAATAACGACCATATGTATTGGACAGTTGTACATTTTGTTATGTAACTTGAATTATAAAATACCTATATCCATCGACACGTAAGATCATACCATTCAATTGATTCAATCCCCGGATGTGTATCAGAGATACACACCTAAGTCCCATCCATCGACACTTAGACTCACATTTCCTCACAGAAGACAGACGTGAAACAACGTTGTGTTGTTTCGTCCCGAACAATCCTCAAATTCCTAATCCAGAAGGCTGGTAACGCACTTGTAACGTAACCTCTGGTGTTCCAGGTGACGCCGATTGCTTACCATTAGGTGATCCGTCTGCTCGTTTACCGGATTATCCCATAAAAAAAAACTTAGAAGCGAAACACTTGAGACTAGCAACGAATTACTAATAAAAGGGCAAATTGAAATAAAACAAACACATATTTTTTTACTATTTATTGTACATTGTTTTTGTAACACGATACATAATAAGCATTCCCTATAACAGCACGCATAGAACACTGGCATGCAACGAAACTGACGCACCACCAAAAATCAAATTCAATACTGTACATTAATTAATAAATGTAATATTTAAAACAATACTTTATTGAATAAAGAACACATAACTATTAATTGGAAATATTTTTATTTTTAAAAGTCATAGTCACCAGTTTTGTTGCACGCCAGTTCACATGAACAATTTCGAAACATATGTACCAACTTTAGTATATTAGGGTGTTTTTAATATCGTGCGGATATCATCACGCGTGCGGGATTGCCCCGCATGCGTAAGCCCCGCAAATGTCCTTTTCATAAAAGTATTTATTATAATGCGTGGAATACGGACGCGGGACTATAGACTATCGGGTTTCACGCTGCGTGAAATTTTCTGCATGCGGGGCAATACCGCACGCGTGACGAAATCCGCACGATATTAAAAACACCCTTAACTATGAATTCAATATTTTGCCTTTCATTCGTAACATCTAATGTAGAGGGATTATCCACAAAATAATATGAATAACACATACCAAACAAACTACATTTAACATCAGATTACAAAAAGAAGACCTTTTAATAAGTTTTATGATACCTAAAACATGAATTACCGACTCACATCCTCTGTATAACCACTTTCTAGGTACAGATAAAGAACCTAGAACCTAATTTGTATTGTTTTATTTATGGGATAATTCCTTTTGGGGATTAGGAATTTGAGGATTCTTGGGATTCAGAGATTGGGGGCATTGGGGAAGAGGGGAAGAGGGGGGAATACCTCACTCACACGACGAAACACAACATAGGCGTTGTATCACGTTGGTTTTCTGTGAGGCTGTGTGTATGAATTTATATCTGTCAGTTAAATTTATCAGACGCTTATATGATTGGATCTTGGAATCCTTGATTTTAATGGCTCGGACATTGAGGTAGCATATTTTAGCCGTATGAAACGGAAGGTGGTACGGCCTTCTACTAGGTGGACTGACGATATCATCAGTCGCGGTTACCCATTGGTTGCAAATATGGAGTTATAGTGCGACCAGCTTAAAATGTCAAACACCGCGAAGACACCGGTGACCGCAACCTATTGTTCTTTAATTGTGTCTATAATGACGGTACTCAAAAGGACTTAGTTTAGCAGCTGATGACAATGATAACGATCTTAGTTACTGTTTTCAGAACAAGCAGCTAAAATCGATCAAAAGTAGTGTGTTTGGTATATGTTTAGTAGTAGGTCATATCAACAGTTAGGCACATATCAAAAGAGAATATTCTACTTTTTATACGCCTAGTTAATGTGTGGTCTCAATTATATATTATTTATGGAATGGATGATTTTCATTGCACATTTTGTATATTTCTGTTATACATATATTTGTATATAATCCCTCGTTCTAATTCTAACATTTAATACTATAGATTGATAGCCTAACATTACGTAACCTTTTATATTATAGTGATATTCTAAGTGTAGAATATTATATTATTGTATTGTATCTACTAAATATACATATATTATATGTTCGATCGAAAGCTTTATGTCGAGGAATGGTTAAGTAAATATATTTGTGTGGGAAAGAATTTTTTATAGAAATTAAATGATGTTTGTGTTTTTAAACAGTCCAGCTATTTAATAAATCATAATGATTTTTTTCTAAGAGAAATGAGTAAACGCTCGTACGAATCAATACTAAGTGATTATGTCCGCTCATAGACACCCGCAATACCAGAGGGCTTTATACAGAGTTTGTTTTACGTAAACGAGAAGGCGTTCGGCGCTCTGAGGCCTTAGTACGAGTTTAATGTACGTTTAAAGTATTCGAAACGAGTACGCGTTCGGCACTCTGATTGGCCGGCGCCAATAAACCAACCAATTAGAGCGCCGAACGAGGTCTCGTTACGAATACTTTAAACTTAAGACAAACTTGTACTAAGGCCTCTGCTCTGAATCACAGCGCCGAACGCAGTCTCGTTTCTCGAAAAGAAATTCGTACTTCAGTTCTCAGGAGTTACAAGTATGTTGCCGGCGTTTTGACCTTAAGTGAATATATCTTATACATTTTTGATTAAATTCTTCCCCACACAAATGGTCTGTAAGGGCGAATATTACAAGCGAATAACCAATGATACGAGTATGAGATTCTACGATAGAAATATAATGTACAAACATAAAAATGTAAAAATGCAGCCCATTTAAAACATTCAACTTTGATATAATTATAATTAATTGATATTATAATAATTTTTATTGTTTATATGAGATATTAGACAGAAGTATTGTAGTACAAATTATATTTTGAGTCATACTATACTCTGATTGACGATTGATCAAATCTTCATAAGCTATTGAGTAATTATTGCACTGGTACTGATCAATATTTAAGAAAAAGTTGATTTTTTAAATCACAATCGCTTTCAAGAGATTTCGGTATGTACAGTAATTCACAATAAACTTGAAACCTTCTGTCTAACACCATTAAAATCGAAAATTATATGATTAAAATATGTCTTTTACCACAATTTTCAAATTAAATTGTATTACATAAAATTACGATTAATGATACCGTATACGCATACATATTAGAGTGAAAATAAAAAAATAGAACTCATTGAAGGAATCTCTCGATGCATGTGAAATTATATACAAAAAAAATATATTATGTAACACGCCATTACTGTGTCCGTTCAACCACTTAGCTCGTGCATTTCCTGAAAAAAAAAAAGTACTTTTAAGTAAAACTTCATACTTAGTTTTTAGTGAGAGAGCCATGCTTCGGCGCGAATGGGCCGGCTCGACTGGAGTGATACCACGGCCTCACAGAAAACCGACGTGAAGCAACGCTTGTGTTGTGTTTCGTCGTGTGAGTGAAGTTAATGGGGGCCCAATAACCCCCCTCCCCATTTCCCAACGATCCTCAAACTCCTCATCCTCAAAAGGCCAGTAACACACTTGTAACGCCTCTGGTAACTACATATTTAATAGTCAGAAGAGCACCGTTCTCAAGTATTATGTATTTATGTAAGTATCTGTATTTATATTTTTCATAATCTTTGTTTGTGTGCCATTTGCCAAATAAATGCTTTTTCTTTCTTCTTTCTTTCTTTCGTTCTCCGATAAACCTGTTCCCTTTTAATATGCGATCCCCAACCCGATTGTAAAGCGAGGAGATTATTCCAACCCCTCTTTTCTAAAGGAGGGCCATTTTTGTGTTAGTTCAGGCTGTCAGTGCTATCAATTTTTTTTTTCATTAATTACTGACATAAAATAATACACATACATACATTGTAACCAGTATTCGTTTAGCATCTTGTCTCGTAGAGTCCTGAGCGTCCGATGTAGCGCACCCATTTAATCACATCGTGGTCGGAGTAGTTCAGCTTGGGTTCGAACACTTTCAGGTAACGGACCTGGAAGAAACAAGAAAAAATACATCAAATCACGTTTTGTATTAGCCGAAGAGATTGGTTTTTTTATGGAATAGGAGGCAAACAAGCAGACGGATCACCTGATGGTAAGCGATCAGCCCCGCCCATGGACACCCGCAACATCAAAGGGGTCACAGGTGCGTTGTCGGCTTTTTAAAGAGGAATACGCTCTTTTCTTGAAGGTTTGAAGGACGTATCGGTTCGGAAATACCGCCGACGATAGATCATTTCACAGTTTTGCTGTGCGAGGTAGAAAGCTACGTGATAAGCGCACAGTTGTGGCCTGCCAACCATCTATATAGTTAGGAAGTATATGATGTCGAAAAGATGCGGCAAGTATCAGGTCAGGTCAGTTCAAACAATTCCTCAGAGCACTCCCCGTGGTATAAGCGATAGAAAATGCTAACAACGAAGCTACACCTCTACGCATTGCCGTGTCTAGCCGGTTTGAAACATCCTGACTCCAACAATCCGAACGGTCCACTTTTTGTCCGTTATGTCATTAGGTCCTGGTCGTCAGTTGTAAAGTGACTTGACCTAAATGGCCTTTTAAAAATAAACATTTGATCTCACCATTTAATGTGGCTGCCATCATAGAATTAAACAAAATCTTGTATAAAATGTGTGAATGGTCACTAGTCTGTAAAGCTGACTAATCAATCGCGACCTTTGTGGTCGCTGATTAACCAATTGAGCAAACTATTTGAGTTTATTACAATCGACTTGGTAGTTAATAAGCCATAGGACTAATAAGCACAACTCTAGTCTAAACCATATATTATTACTTAGTTTTTAATATTATCTATATTTACCTTGAACCCAGAAGGTGCGAATGGCACCTCGAATCCCATAGAGATGGGTGGTCTGGTCCATTTCTTCTTAGTGTCCGTCTCAAGTAGCTCAATCTCAGCAGACAGCTGCGTCTCCTTCATACCAGCCATGCGCTTTATCCTAGAACATAATAAAATCATGAATTGTGAAATTACTGAATAATTTTAGAAAATACTCTATGCCAAGGGTAGTTATAAGGGTACAGTCTGTTTAAATATTAATTATTATCAAATTGTAATCAACTTACTAAATAATATAAATGGCGAAATAAAATATATTGAGTTGTTTATAAAACTAAGACTAACAAAAAGAGGGGAAGAATATGTTTTGTCTTTATCCACAAAGGTCAGAGGTGAATCAAGTTGGTATTTACATTATAATGATATTGATTAATAAATAACCTTTATTTTATGCCAAAACCTGGAATTATCACTAACAAAAGCAAAAATTATGTTCATTAGTCAAAATTACCTACAAGTATTATTATTAACTGACAAAAGATAAACTAAGAATAACTCACTTCCAAACAATAGCATTTTCCGAAGCCTTGTACTTGGCTTTCCCCTTTAAACAGATGAGCTGGACTCCGCTAGTGTTCAGTGGAGTGGGAATCTTGACCTCAATCTTCTGGCCAAGCAACGAGGGCTTGAAGTTGCTCTTCAGCACCACTTTTACTTCCATCTTAGTGCGTCCCACTTCACGGACCAATGGAATCACACGGAACGGCAGGGATATGTCCTTGGTTGTGCGGTATCTGTAAGTGATTATTAAAAGAATATATTAAATAAGTAAAGAAATTATTTGTAAGTCTAGTAAAAAACAAAACTATAATTTGGTACTTTTGAAACATCAACAATTATAAAATAAATAATAGTCTGTCAGTCAGTCCGTCAGTGAAGCTACGCGCTCATTCCAAAATGTAGACTCGAGTGGAGAAGAACGAGCAAGAAACTCCATTCGTTACATTTTTAAAAAGTGAATTAAATTTCCCTCATGAGCAGTTTAATTCACATCAAGGACTATCGAAATATTAGATACTGGAATATACTAGGTTTATTAAAAAAAAATCAGTAGTAGCACGGAGCCTGAAATTGTGCCTGGTATACGACAATAGGCACACCCCCTATAGCCATCAGACCACCACAGATGGGGCCCAACAGGGCTGATCGGCATCAGCCCTGTTGGGCCCCATCTGTACGGAGCCGCGGAAGACTTAAAGGGTTGCCGGGGCTCCGGCTCGAAGTGCAGGAGTAGGAACGGGGTGGTTTTTAGTCAGTCTGACACTCCCTCTTGCCTCACCCGGGCGGAAGAAGTCATTGGATGATTTTCCCCCCTCAAAAAAAAAGGCTCACCTCCTATAACATGGGACTCATAACATAAATAGTGAAAATGGGTGTTACATTGTACAGCATTAAGCGCCGTAATGTGCACATCTGCCTACCCCTTCAGGGATAAAAAGGCGTGATGTTATGTTATGTGGAATATAATCTACTAAAATCTCCCTCTAACCCCAACTCTAATACTAAAATCCCGGAATAGGCGAATCCCCAAAAGACCAAACAATCCATTTCTAATCTGATGATGCGGGTGTCTTTAGACATAACTGAATGCTTACCATCAAGTGCTACTTATTTGCGCCCACATCTCTTGAAAAATTAAAACATACCTCATAAGCTCGAACTCGCCATCAGGAGGTATGAAAGAGATGGAATGTTCCGTCTCAAACTTGCTGAGCTTCACACACTGGTGGAACTGGCAGTCGTCAATCACGACCACTGGCTTGCCGGAGCGAGCTGGGTCACTGTCAGTGTTGCCGGAGATGCCACCTGGTGAGAGAAATAAGTTGTTGAAATATTCTTGAAGGCACAATGAATAAGTTCGGAAAATAAATACGTGCGTGGGACTTTTTTTTTTCAAGGGGGAAAATCATCGAATGACTGCTCCCGCCTGGGTGAGGCGGGAGGGAGTGTCAGACTCTTACTGACTAAAAACCACTCCGTTTCTTCTCCTGCACGTCAAGCCGGAGCCCCGGTTACCCGTTAGATTCTCCGCGACACATATAGTTGAGATAAATAAGTTGTTTAAATATTCTTGAGGGCACAATGAATAAATTCGGAAAATAAATATGTGAGTGGGACTTGATTGTTTATTTCATTGATTTGGTATATAAAATACTGAAGCTCATTCTAACATCTAACATTGCAATATTTTATATAGGCATTAACTATGCAAGAGAAATATTATATAAGTAGCTACAATCAGCGCGGTGTCACACGCTCTGCTCACCTTCTATGGGTCGTAGCACGCTACGACCCATAGAAGGTGAGCAGAGCGCACTACATGGCTATAGGCTATAAAACGTCACGACGTTTTATAGCCTATAGCCATCCTCGATAAATGCACTATCCAACTCAAAAAGAATTATTCAAATCAAACTTGTAGTTCCGAAGATTAGCGCGTCAAACAAACAAACAAAAAAACAAACTCTTCAGCTTTATAATATTAGTATAGATATGAACCGTTTTTATACCTGACATTCAGAGATAGCAAATATCAGGATTTCACAAGAAACTGACAAGTTATCATATATCAGAAACTCAATACTGAGGAGACAACAATAACAATATTAAAATAAGAGATGCCTAATCAGTAACTCACCATTGCCTTTCCCCTTGGCTTCCATGACGATCTTGTCATTGATACCAAACTTGCACTCTGGCATGCCAGAGAGGTAAGATTTCATTACCACCTTGCCAGCTACATGAGCTGACAGGACTTGACCTGGAAATAAAGGCAACCGGTTACATAATAACCACATAAATAGTAACCGATTATTGTAAAGAATATCAATAGCATGCAGTACATAAAATAAATACCAGGTAGATTTAATAATTATTTTTTATTTTAACAGTGCATCCTTGAGGATAATGTTCCATGCATTATTATGATTATTATCTAATCATTACATACATTGCCTCAATGGTCGATTGGTCGCAAGTACGACTGCCGGGCAAGGGGTCTCGGGTTCGATTCCCGAGTAGGGCAAAGTATTACTGGGATTTTAAAAAGTTCTCAGTGGTAGCACATAGTCTGGAATTGTGCCTGGTATATGGCAATAGCTCACCTCTTATTACATGAGACTTACAACATAAAATAGTTAAAAGTGGGTGTTACATGGTACAGAGGTGTTAAGTGCCACGATGTGAACTTCTGCATGAAGTAAGTAATGAAATAACATTTTAATATTACAGTACAAACTACAACATTTAAGTAATTAAGTTTTCAGCTATATAGTACCTTGAGGAGACATGAGGAGGTTGACATACTCCAGTACATCCAGGAACAGCTCATTGCGTCTGTATTTGATGCCCTCGCGACGCCATCCAATTTGGCCAGTCACCTGCACAAAATAATAATGTTATGGTACTTTTAATGTTTCACCTACTCATTGTCAGTAATTTCATTGACTTCATCATCCATTTAGATGAGTTTTGTCAGTTCTGAGGGCTTTGGACGAATTTGTTTTACGTTTCAGAGAGATGAGACAGCATTTAGCGCTCTTATTCGCCAGTTGCAATGAACCAAGCAATCAGAGGGCATCCGAATGCAGTCTATTTAGATTACTTAAAACATACTAAGCCCTCTGATAAAATATGTATAGAAAAAACCAATAAAGTAGTCCTACCTGTGAAGTGATTTGAGCCTGTTCTTCTTTGGATGCAGATTTGATACCCTGCTGGGTAATGAATGTCTTCAGGACTCCTGTGTCTGAATTCTGAGGGTAACCAAAGTCCAAGATTTCTGTAAATAAATGCAATTTTATATAATTTGGTAAGTTAGAATTTAAGAGGAGATTTTTACAGTAAGCCGAAAACATAATAATTAAAAAGAATAATTACAGTAATAAATAAAAAACAAATGGATAACCATATGGTTACCGTTGATGTTATATAATCGAAAGGAGTAAAGTTGATTCCAAATTAGAAGAAACCAATTGGGAATCAGTGTCTAAAAGATAGATCCAAAGTGGACTAAAAAATTCAAGCTAAACTTATTGTACCAATCATTTAAAGGATATAAACAATGAGACAACAAAATATGAAGGAATTGGCTGACTGTACCTCAAACGCATTCTTATAAGAATCAATACCAATTGAAGCCATATTTATATCAACACATCAATATTTACCTAAATGTTTAGCAGACAGATATCTAAGATATTTCAATTGGAATCTCAGTGCATTTGTACTTGAAAAAAAAAATCTTTTAACTTTTTTTTTCCTTTTTGTCAACTGAGTCTCCAATACAGATCTTTTAACTTATTTGATTTTTAACATCCTATAAGACACTTACCGTCCAACAACTCATAGATAAGCACGAAGTTGTTCTTGATGTTCTCCTCGGAGATCTTGCCGAAGTAAGATTGCATCACATCTATGATTTTCAGAAGGAATTCAAACACCATAGCAGCATTCACATTCTGCTTGGTCACAGCTGCCAGCCAGATATTGGCTCTCTGTAGAAAAGAACGATCATTAAACTGTTATCAGTGCTTTTGTCATTTTAATTTGAACTTAGTGAAACCGCCCCCTTTTGGATTATTTCATTGATGAATAAACCAGCTTTCAATCATTTATGTAAGGTGTTTTTTAGATAGTCAACATTTCAAAATGATAAGTTCTAAGTCAGACTTACCATACAGACTTTTCACTCAGACAGCTAGACTTTTACCTGAACAGCTTACCTTAATATGAAAGAAGGAAGTCCTAGCGATGTTAGTCACGGGCGAGCGCACTTGCTGCCTCGCATGGATCACGTTCACTCTGAACGCGTCCACGGCATTCCGCCCAATATCATCACGGTACACCCGTGAGATCAGGACTTCGCCCTTGTGGTTGTACACGAACAGGCCCCCAATCATCTTGTTAGAAACCTACAAACACATACAGACTTTCAGTAACTCAGTTACTATTCACATTTCTAAGATATGGATTCCTCTCGTTCGCCGACGTAATGATTTTTCGGTCCGGTGGCTTGCCAAAAGCTACCCGCAAAACATAACTCATGTAACAAATACATAAATGTTACACGTCAAATCTCATCTATAAAAAAGCAAAGACAGTACGCGGAACTACTTGAAGAAATTGGGTTGATTATGAATCAATAGGACAGGATACGGCCAATGAAACACCCGATGTAATACTGATATAAGACAAATATAAACATCCTCTACACTCACCTACGGTACTGTAGACACTAACATTAGTTTAATGAAATAATTTAATATACTCGAATTAACACTAAATGATAAATTATCTCATTTTTCCTAAATTTCGCTAGGACAGTAAAGTAGCGATACCCGCCCCCAAAATGAAACGTCGAATCGAAATCGAAACGTCAATATTAGATGTTCGCAGATAATAAATATTTTTGCTGGTAGCAATAATAATCACATGAATAGTGTTGTACACAGAAAACCGGTAAAATCACAAGAATTTACACGTAATCACACGTAGCCAACAAGGACCTTGAAAAAAAATAAAAGAAAGTGGACTGGAAAAGCAGAATATTATGTTAATATCTCATTATTTATTAATCATACTTTTTATTCATTTTTAAATTCTGTATCTAAAAATAAAAATATAATAATTCTTTTATAAACTAGGTTTAAAAAAGCCGACTTCAACACCTTCTTTTTTGAAGTTGGTTAATTAATATGTATACTTTCTACCTCCTTCCTTTTCCTAAGTGTAAACAAACATTATCATAAAAATCGCATCAAAATCAGTTCAGTCAATCACGAGATATTCGTGCACAAACATATACATACAGGTCAATTAGAGAATCTCCGTTTTTTGAAGATGGTTAGAAAGTAGTATAGCTCACCTGTAACCAGAGAAATCCAGACTACTGGCGGTCAGGGCCTCAGAAAGAGGAATTTCCAGAGAATACGGGCTGTGTCCAGAAATACTGCTTTCTGCATCAGGCCGTTGACCCAACCATCTAACGCTAGCCTATTCAGGTGTTGATCGAGGCTTTTGCCTACAAGCCTATTGGCAAGATGTAGATTCATCTGCAATGCTGAATCTACATCCCACATGTCAAAAATTTGATGCACTAAATCAAAATATTTATATGCTCAATATTTGTTTAGTAGTAAGATATTGTATCAAATTTTCATTGTTTAACGGCTTGATCGACCTATCATCACATCATCACAACGTCAAATTTGTTAGTACCAGTCCTATCTGTGATGACAGCTGTGTGACATCTCCATTTTCAAGAACTGGGTCAGGCAGATACTTAGGTATAATACGGCACTTCAGATTCAACAAGTTTGTATTTCGAAGCAAGTTGCTGATGATACCTGAAGGTTACTATTATTGTTATTACTAATTTACATGCAACCCTAGAAGTTAACTCCACTACCTATACCTATATTGTAGGTTCAAACCATCCCGATTTCTTAGCACGGATGTTGAATTTGTTTTTGAAGAATATGGTCCATATTATTTATATTTTCCTTTTTACAGGTAAATGTATAGTGTGCATACATAATAGTTAGTATATGAACACAAACAATACCAACGCGACGAATTACTTTAAATGATAATAGAAAGCCACAAATGTAGGTTTGTGGCTAATAATGGATTAACGTTGTGGAATAATAAAGGAACTTTTTTTATACCACCACGGTGTCAAAAAAAGCACACGGCCCACCTAATAGTAAGTGGTTACTGTGGCCTGTGAACGCCTGAAACATTTGGGGCAATACATGCGCCTTCTCGACCCTTTATAAATCTATACTTAGGAACTTGTATTATTTCACGTAACAGGTTGTATTAATTAGTCAATTTAGATACATAGTTAATGGTAAAATTTTAACACCGTGATTAGCACGATGGCTTTATAGCCAGGATAACCAGCTGATAACTGGGTAACCAGCCGGTAGCTGGTTAACCAGCTACCCAGCTGGTCGTCGTGTAGATCCCAAGTTGATCTGGGTGTGTTGTGATGTGTATGTGGACAACGTTTCCTTTTTTCAATAACAAATTAGAAGTGGCATAGCCGTTTTTTAATCACCACACTTGGTGTGATTCAAGTGTGACGACAAATGGACGATTCTCTCACAAAAAACTAAACCAAACCGTGATGATTCAAAACCAGTTGTAAATTGTAATTGTCTTATCAACACTGACCATATTGTCTATATAATGATGAAAATACAAATGAGGAAACAGTTCGTAAAGTACTGCGTACGGAGCAGCATTATTTATATTTTGCTTCAAAAATGTTACGGCATATAATATTGTTATTCGCTGTTTTTGTTTATATAACTGAAAGTTTGAGTATCGTTAATCCTGGACCTACATACCCACCAACGAAGGGATCAGTATGGCCAAAACCACATCAGCAAACGCAAACAGATTCATATTATAAATTAAATCCATCTACTTTTGTAATTACGGTAAGTTTAAATATTAAGTACTTACACTAAAAGCAATTTATTAGGAGATGTGAGAAATCAGAACGTTTTAGTTCCTAAGAGTGTAAAAAATTATGTAATATGGATTAGTTCCAGTTAACTGTTATCAGCTTAATCGAAGTGTGAATTTAAATATATAAATATTAGGATTAATCTTATTAAAACAACAACAAAATATAAGGCTAAATATAAAACTGTGCTAACTAAATGATATACTGGTGGTGAATCGTTTACCTTTGAGTTATCACAAGGAAAAACGAGCATCAAGTTATTTTTGTTTTTCATTGTGTCTAATTTGATGCTTGACAGAAAGGACAGTATTCAATTAGTGTAGTGTTAAGGTAATCTAAGTTTTAATTATATTTATACTGTTTGCAAGATTCCTAGAAGATTAGTATGGTAGATAAACCGTGAAGACAAACAATGACAAATTACTTTCGCTTTTATTAGCTGGGATAATATTACAATTTAGAAAATCTCTTTAAACAATCACTACTGTAGAGTTTAGCTGTATTATGTTATTTAACATCGAATAAACAAAGACACCACACTCTGACCAGAAATACAATATTATGTAGATCACACAAAGAGTTACTTCGTGCGAAATTCAAACCCATGACACATTGCACATTCGACAGTTTCCTATCCACCGTACCAACACCAACACCAACCCTGCAGTCAGAATAGCAAAATACTACCGGTACAAAACTTTTCGGTTGCCTGATAATAGGCACTAGGCAGTTCGTCGCAACCTGTAGCATCACCTGCAACACCAGAGATATCACAACTTCATAATAAGCAAGGATTTTTATTTGCACTATCATTTTTGGGGAGCTCCCGGCTCCTAAAATGATGGCTCAATTATATAGATTTAGCAACCGGAATTCGCAGTAACCATAAAAAACATACAAACATTACATCACTACTTCACACTGATGTCTAAGAGGGTGGTGATTCCCCGGTCAAGCTAGCTATTAGGTTGCGTAAAGCAGTTAAAATTTTTCCAATAATTAAACAAATTATCAGTATTAAATTTTAACAGCAATAAATAGACTTAGTATTTATATATTAATTCTAAGTATCTATTTTATTGGAATTTCTTTCAGAATTGTCATAGCATTGTTAATGTGAATTGCGATAAAGCCTCAATAACTCATCGCGATAAAGACTAATCACAAAGGTAAATGACTTAAAAATGTATCTACTAATACTGATTGCAGGAAAAAGGTAAAACATGTGATATATTAAAAGATGCAATCGATCGGTATATGAATGTGTTGCGGAATACTTACTTGATTGTGGAGAAATACTCAAGAAAATTATCAAAACATGAAAGTGAAGCCGAAAATTTGGATGACAACTTTAAAGGAACATTGCAAGAACTACAAATTAACCTGACTGCACCATGTGAGACCTATCCACACTTGGATATGGATGAGAAATGTAAGTTTCACCTGCCATCTCAACAAGTTATTTATACCTTATGGCAAAAGGGTTAGATAGTTTTAAAGCAGGGTTGAGTCAGAGACTAGAATGGCTATGCAGGGTGTTTACCGTAAAATAATTTTCTCTCATTACGGTTACGAATTGAATCAATATTGCAATTTTTTACATAAGGAAAATGAATGAAATATAATTGTGAGTGTGTGAGTGACTTGTTGCACAAGTGAAGTGCTAATGACTTCAAAATGTTTACTTTGCTATAAAAAATACTGTAGGACATAAAAAGTCATCTGACTCAATAGCATTATCTGTTTTTTTCTTAATCAGATAGTTAAACAAATAACGTTTATTTTTATCTTGAGGACCGTTCGAAGATACCTAATGACGAAATTGTAAACATCGTCGTAGAAAAGTCATTATCTATTATGATAAACTGTGATCTCAAATCTCCTCAGGTATGGAAACCCAAAAATCCAGCAATAGACTGTCACTGGCTATCAACGACTTACGCCTGTATACTGAAAGACTACTCAATATTTTAAGTTGTACTCAAATATCGTGCCATCATTGTCATTTACAAAGAATTAACTTCCATGTTTTACAAATTCCTTTTAGGATTATTGATTAAACTGACTCTTCACATTCTGCCTACTCCACAAATGGATAACGAGAATATATATATAAATATGTACATAAATCCAGTTGTACCTATGCTAGGCAAGAGATCTTTGTTTGTTATTGATAAGAAATGGCATCGTGACCCTAAGATTAGTTTCACTCTCAACATCGACATTTGCGCAATACACTCTATATTGAAATGTTCTCGTAAACAAAGGCAGGAACTTTTTATCTTAATGGCTCTAGGTTTTTGACATTCCATTTATAAGAAATTAAAATACAATTTATTGAAACTGTTCAGCAAAAATATTAATTATTTATCTTTTTACATGTATATATGTTTTCCATGTAACAGCTTTATCTACAGCTGAAATGATCAATACACCGATGTGTATTTAAATCTGTGATATTTATGAGAATAATTTAGTAAAAGTTAGATTACTGAACAAAACCCCTTTACTAATGATTTCAGACAGCCTTGATGTTGCCAAGGTATCTATCCTCAACAGTGATTCTATATGGGGCGTACTCAGAGGACTTGAGTCTTTCGTGCAATTGTTTTACATGGCAGACGGATACAAAGTAAGATTTAGAATCCTACTTATGTATTTATGAGAATAAAAGATGTATTACTTATAAAAATCTCTTTTAAATCTTTCAGAATGTGTTTATCAACGCAACTCAAATTCAAGATTTTCCGAAGTACACCCACCGAGGCCTTCTCGTCGATACATCAAGGCATTACATAACTGTGCCAACTTTGCTAAAAACATTAGATGCCATGGAAATAAACAAGATGAACGTTTTGCATTGGCACATAGTGGACGACCAGAGCTTCCCTTATAAAAGCGATATGTTCCCTACATTAAGGTAAATATATTGTTGCTGCTAGACCTTGAACACTATTTTTATACACTTATTACGATATCATCACATTTTTCTATTATTTTAGTGATGCAGCGTACGATCCTACAATGGTATACACTGCAGTTGATATCAATCACATCGTATCCTATGCAAGACGTAGAGGTATACGAGTGCTACCAGAGTTCGATGTGCCAGGTAACTTCAAAGCTTAGAATTTTATACTCTCCGCCATGTGAATATTGTATAGTGCTAAAATTAACTAGATTTCCATTTATCCTTTACACAGGCCATACCAGCTCTTGGGGCGTCGCTTATCCAAATATCCTAACAAAATGCTACAGTCTCGGGCACGAATTGGGTTTAGGACCAATGGACCCAACAAAGAACACCACCTATAAACTGATTGGTGACTTATTCCGTGAGGTCCAAGAACGGTTCCCCGATAAGTATTTTCATGTTGGTGGAGATGAAGTTGAACTGGACTGTTGGTGAGTGTCCACTGATAGTTAGTAGCTAGTTAACAGAGGAGTGAAGTATAATAATAAATTGATCAAAGGCGTGAATTAAAACAATAATTTTCTTTTCAGGATATCAAATTCTGAAATCCGTGACTTTATGAAAGAACACAACATGACAGATGCTAGCGAACTACATTCCTACTTCATGGCAAATGTAATTCCATTGCTGGGAGATAGGTCTAAACCAATTGTGTGGCAAGTAAGTGATGATTTATAATTCGGCCTAACTCAGATTGCTTGTTTTCTCTATATATTTGTATTAGTATAGTTTCTTACATAAATTATTAATAACGCTTTATAATAATTTGCAGGAAGTCTTCGATGAGGGTGTGAGTCTACCCAACGGCACAATCGTCCAAGTATGGAAGAATACAGAAGCTAGAGAAATGCAAAATGTTAGTTTACATTATTTTTGATTTGGTTTGGGTTCAATTTTGGGTGGGTTAATGTCAAAATAATTAAAGCATTAAAAACTAATTACATTTATTTTGTTCGCAGATCCTAAATGCTGGTTACAAAGTAATTTATTCATCATCATGGTATCTGGATCATATTAATAGCGGAGGAGACTGGTCCAAGTACTATGGAGTTGATCCTCGTGAAATAGTTAAAGGAAGTGTCCCTGAAAATAAAGAAATCGATGTTCTAGGAGGGGAAGCCTGTATGTGGGGCGAGGTGGTAGATGACACGAATATAATTAGCAGGTACGTACGTTGACATAGTAAAAGTGGATAAAGACCACTAGTAGTCTCTTCGTTTTTTTTAAAAGCAAACAAAACCGAGTCAGGTCAACTGGTCTCGGTACTTTTAATTTTTGGAATTTTCAGAGTATGGCCTCGTGCTAGTGCTGCTGCTGAAGCTCTGTGGAGTGGTCACAAGTACGAAACAATGCCATATTTAAGACATTGGTATCAATTCAGAGAAGACTCATCACATCTAGTAAGCAGCCGTCTTGAAGAACATGCATGTCGCATGAATCGTCGTGGTATAGACGCTCAGCCACCAAACGGCCCCGGATTTTGTGTTACAGGAAATTAAATTCAAAATAAAAGATTTGTAATAAACAATTAAATATAGTCAATAAAAAGTTGTAGGAATTGTTTTAGTTTTGCCAATTTTCATTACGACTTGCGTCTGCAAACTCTTTGCTAAACATGAAGATTGTATGGTAGGTGCAGTGGCACAACGTGTCGTGTCGTAGGTTCGATTCCCGCATGGAACAAATTACCTGTGTGATCCACAGTTTGAGTTTGAGAGATTATTACGTGAATTTGTGCGTTCGTAAGTATATCCTCCATACACGAGGTAATCCAAGAATGAGGTCACGCTTTTAATTTAAAAAGGATAAGGTTTCGATACCCACATCACGCTAAATAGTGGTTGAGATCTTAACTTTTTAAATGATTGAGTTTTGAGAACTGCCCACATCGAATCAGTCTTTTCTTAACAAACATATTCATCTGATTTAAGACAGTAATATTATTATTTTTTGTGGGAAACAACATAATTATCTATACACATATTTATAGACTACACAATTAAGTAAGTGCTCCTAAAAAGTCATAATAAAATTATTATCAATTATTTCAATTACAAACCGAAAAAAATAATAACCTTTTTTACCGTAAATATCGGTAAAGTTCTGAATGCCACTTCACTAATCAGCATAGACAAATTTGAAAGGAAGAGTCTGTTTAGTTTATGGCTTGCGAATTGGGTCGATTATGTCATGGCGGGTTAGATGTTTTCGGCAGTTGATTTTATTGAATTTGTTTTGAATTACGCCGTCAATGATCTCGTTTGAAACGCTGTCGTTTAAAAATAAGCTTATTTGTATATTAGTGACCTTTTTATAAACTATTCAAATGCTGAAACGGTTGCAAATGGGCCTTCGCGCGTTCATGCTGCTCGCATCAAAAGTATGGAGTTGTTTTTGTTATATGTTTAAGAAGCAATATCGAGCGGTAAATATAAATAAAAATGTGTGCCTTATTGTGTAATATTATGATTTTACGCAGGAGCATAAAAATCTCACGTGGCATTTGGTTTTCAGTTGGCTCAATATCAATCCGTCAAATATGAGATGTATCCGCTTTCGCCCGTATCTAGACACAGGCTGAGTGAGTATTTACTATCTTTTTTATCGCTTTATATTAAAACGATATATCGTATGATTTGCGACCATTGTAGTTATCACAAATATGTAAATATTATCATTAATTTCCCGTCCTGTCTAACTTAGTATATTATTATAATAGAAAATGTAAACAAGACTACTTTTTTATTCATATGCATAAGTTTTTAATGTCCACAATAGATATCATGTGCAATGTCTAATTGATCCTTCCATTCTAGTACACTATCTTTAAATTTTACAATTTTAATCTTTTAGAAACTTTATTATAAGCAATAAATATCTCCAAATTAATCATAATTCAAAAAAATTGTATAGTCGATAGCTTACAATGAAGTGTGATGTTAACACAACCTTCATGTAGTTAATACCTGCACAGTCTACACATATTGTTATAAAAAGTAATATATATCATTTATTATAAAATTTTGGGATGTGGCACATCTCAAATTGTGATTTTCTAAATTTTGCAAGCAAGTTCATTTTAGTCTTTAATCCTTGGAAATTTGATCTCTTATTTTACAGTACCCGCACTGCTCGGCTCTTTGATTTTTTATAGCCTTCCTCAATAAATAATGTATATTTTTTTCTGTGTGTGCAATAAATTATAAATAAATAAATGGACTATCCAACACAATCAGAATTTTTCATATTGGACCAATAGCTCCTGAGGTTCATTCAAACAAACTACATCTTGAGCATTATAATATATTCATTCAAAAGTTAAGTGATGTATTTTGACAAATCAAAATAAAGTCAAACAAATCAATCATGTATTTTAAATATCTTTCTTATTAATTTTGTAGTCTAAACTCTTTAAACAAATCTAAAATTACCATAATGACACTGACAGACAGACATGAAGACAATTCAATTTTTGATGTTTCAAAAGTGCCAAATTAAGGGTTAATTGAAATAAATGCTTTGACTTTGACTTTGTTATAGCATAAATATGTTGGTTTGTCAACCAACTTAATAATAGGAGGAGGTTGTCAATTCAACTGTATGTTTTATTAAACTGTCAAACACCAAGCGGTCACCGTTGACCGCAACCTATTGTTCTATAATTGTGTCTATAATGATGGTACTCGACGAGTTAATAATATAGCAAAACTACTCAACATAATGTCAAATTAATAAATCTAATCTCATTTTTGTGTTATTAAAAACTTACAATGGTTAGACCAGTGGCATTAGTCTGCCTATCTACAACTTTAATGGTACATGGAATTAAATATAATATTATCTATTTTTATATAAACCTAAAGCTACCACCGTGCCACCACGTGCCACTAGGCATTAAGTCCGCCGTTGTATATCTACAAAAAGTGTAAATAAATAAATAAAAATAAAGCAACATCAATTGTATTATCATTTCATACTATCGTATAAAGAAGCAATATATTTTTAAAGACACATAAAAGCAAATAACATATAGGGTGTCTTCAAGGCCTGAGTGAATAGGTTGCTTATGGGCAGACATGCTCCATCGTAGGCCGTATCATCTTTTACCACCAAACGAGATAGAGGCCAAACATCGGCCATCAAATATAAAACTAATAATTGTAACTAGATTCATGAATGTGATGGAAGCTAAAAAAGTATGTAAGGATTGTAAAAAATATCTTGGTAAATTGACAATATCATGAGGCTTAAAATATTAATCTTAAAAACTATCTTAATTTTTATCTCTGTCTATCCCATTTGAGGCGGATATTTCTATTTATTACTTTATGTATGTATGTATAAAACAATCAGTAAGTTTGTACTTTAATCCTTGATTCTACAATAGTAACAAGTCAAGCATAGTTGACAAAAAAAAAGATGAGTCATTCTGAACAAGCTGATTAAGTTTTTTAACACATTCTGTGTGATACAAGTAATATTATTATTATAAGATAGTAGTTGCCTTGCCATCATATAATTTAAATATTTTTTTTATCTATGATATAGTTGTCACAGCTGTATTTTTTAAGATGAAATTTTATACAACACATGGTTGTCATTGAACCACAAATTGTAAATGTTTTACTTACTTGTTTTAAAATTTCATTAATTAAATAGTTCTTGTAATGATACATTTTTGCTTAATTATTCAATTTGTTTGGGTTTTTTATCCTAAAATAGTAATAAGTATTGCGACATCTGCGACAATAAACTCACCCCTTGAAATGCTAACAAATAACATAATTGATGAAAAGCAAGTTTATCATTAGCACACCTCTGTTCTATCGAATTTTAATAAATTATTATATTCGTATGGTAAAATAAATTTGTAAATCAGTCCAATTAGTCCAGGACATAGAACCTTTTCTACATTAATACATCATCTACCTGCCAGTAAAAGTCCCGTCAAAATCAGTCTAGCCATTTTAGAGATAGGCAAGTACAAACAGACAGACAGACAAAAAAAATATTTTGATATAGGTATGGTATGTATATACATACGATACCTATATCAAAATATTTTTTACTACATGCATAATTATGAATGTAGTAAAAAGTCGGTTATTTCAATATAACACACACTTCAATTTTATTTATCTGTGTATGACTTCCCTGTTATTCATGTTGTGGTCACATGAAGTAAAATATAATCTTAATTAAGTTTAGAACGGTATTTTATGTGGTGTTAGATTTTATTCAGTTTTGTGAACCACATTAAAAAATAGTATTAAATATAGGAAGTATTGTGTATACAAATTCATGCAAATTGGGGGAAACCATTATTTATATATTTATGTATTAAAATTTTTGGTCTATGCATTAATGATTTAGAATTGTCAGTGTGGTAGGTTATGTTAAACAACTTTCATATCACTATCAGTTTATAGATGTCATCATTAGTCGCAAGATTCAAATAATTTACATTGTAAATTATTATCTTGTTTATTTAAATATTTGCCAAAAGAAGTAATAAGTCGTAAAGACGTTATTTTGGTGAAGTAAATCTATACTTAGCAATAAAGTTTTACTTAGATTTTGAACTGGCAGGGAACAAATAAAAATACAGTTTTGAAATCTATTACACCTACATCTTCAATATCAATACATAGTATAAAACAAAGTCGCTTTCGCTGTATGTCCGTATGTATGCTTAGATCTTTAAAACTACGCAACGGATTTTGATGCGGTTTTTTTTAATAGATAGAATGATTCTTAAGGAACGTTTGTATGTATAATACATGCATATTGTACCCGTGCGAAGCCGGGGCGGGTCGCTAGTATACTATAAAGCGGAAAAGTTTTTTTTTTGTTTGTTTGAACGCGCTAATCTCCGTAACTACAAGTCTGATTTGAATAATTCTTTTTGTGTTGGATAGCCCATTTATCGAGGATGGCTATAGGCTATAAACATCACGCTACGACCAATAGGAGCTGAGCAGAGCGTGTGAAACCGCGCGGAAGTAGCTAGTTACTGTAAATCATTTATCTCCACAACAATACTTAATAGAAAATGCTAATGAAAATGTTAATAACTGTTTTTAACGAACTATAATAAAATATAATGAGAAAGGGTAAAAAATATTACCTGTGCATTGTATGTTATATTATATTTTGAGTGCAATCAATGTACTACTTTTTGATTATGCCAACAAACTTGTCATACCGCTAATATGCTTAGGTTGCAATGATCATTATATCGAGCAGCCTATAAGCTTTGTTTTTACTGAGATAGCCAATTTTTACATACGACATAAGCTCGATACAAAATTTAAATTCTATCTCAGTAAGCAGTCGCGGAGAACATAACGGGTTACCGGGGCTCCGGCTCGACGTGCAGGAGAAGGAACGGGGTGGTTTTTAGTCAGTAAGAGTCTGACTGCTGCCGCGTCACCCAGGCGGGAGCAGTCACTCGATGATTTTTCGGCCTTAAAAAAAAATCTCAGTAAGCAAATCTATAGATAGAGAGGTTATAGAAAATAGCCATTAATGTACCTACAGTCAAATTTTATGCCATTATCTTACAAGAACAAAAGCAAATGTTGTCCGACATTGAATTAGCTATTGCATAATTTTTACACCCAAAATATAAAAACACGTGTTATCTGTGTGTGATGTACACTGCATTTTGTTATGTGTACACAACTTTATCATCTATTGCGTTAAAATCAAACAGTTGTGTTGTTGTACATGCCACTTTACTATCTTTTTGATCTATCAGCTTGTTTTATCTGTCTAGAGACAACAGAACAACAGACTATTTAAATTCTCGCGTTCAAAATATTGGCATTGGCCAAATAGACTGCGGTTTTGATAGCCTGATCGTAAGCACATCTCTATTTTGTTTTTTTAATAGGGGAATAGCGTCGAATGACTTATCCCGCCTGGGCAAGGCGGGAGGGAGTGTTACTCTTACTGACTAAAAACCACCCCGTTCCTACTCCTGCACTTCGAGTCGGAGCCCCGGCAACATGTTACGTTCTCTGCGGCTCCGTATCGGCATCAACTCTATTGGGCCCTTTCCTCGGTGGTCTGATGGATATTTGAGCGCGCGTGGAATGCGACGCGCCGTACGTTCGGATCTGGTTCTAGCTGGGCGGCGAGCTACCCGTGCTTGCCGTCCGCAGGCCTGTGCTTTGGTGACCGGAGATCGTCTTGCGATCCCCGACGCCCGGAGTGTCCTTCACGACGGCTAGGTTGTGAGGAGGTTGCTAGTCTTAGCACATCTCGATTACTGTGTAAAGTACTTACAAGTTAGGTTTTTCAAGTTTAAAAGTCTCATGTCAGTCCTTATAACATTAACTGCACACTTACCGTCTCGAAGAATAACTTCAAATGCAATGATTTTAAATAACCCTTCTTTTAGCAGTCGGGAAAAACAGCAAAGAACGTAAACGTTCAGGACTACTTTTCCTTATGGAAAAGGCATCTCATCAAAACCACGACCCTTTTTCAGCCCCAGGCCGCCCTTAAATAATTTAATCTGGGTCCAACTGTCCCTTGATGCCCTCCGACGACGCGGCGTCAAGATTTTTGTAACATAAGGGGCGCTCTCAGAGCGATTTTGCTTAGCTCGCAAAAAATATTATAAGTACTTTAGTCTGAAGCCTTAAATAATAATAACTTATTTTCTTTTTAGCTCTCAAACTTCAGTCCTATGTTCCAACGTTTGTTTGTGTTCTATTTTACCTAAATAAAAAGTTGTTCGTAATCCTCTAAGCGCGATATGTAATTAATTTAATTACTTGCCGTAGCGGCCAAAACTGATCTTATTCTTCAGAACAAGAGACCAAATTCAGTGCTAATCTTCCACTACGACCTGCCTACCAGTTATTGCTTACTTAGAATACAAACTAGAACACATTTCTTGATATAAAAAATCAACAAATATACTCCACCATCGTTTATTCCTTTCTTTACTAATTTATCCAAAATGAACCGTTTAAATAAAGCTACATTCATACTTGTAAGGCTTCCTGTTTACTTACGTCACGTAAACGAATTTTACACACAAACACGAAGATCCGACACCTACTAGTAAGCCATACAAATATTTGTTGCGTGTTTGAGTTGGGCTTTAAAACATTGGGAGGCAAAGGCCCGAAGAGAATTTTGTCCGACATGGTGACTGCCACGGACCTTTGAATTGAATTTATGGCTCGCGATTATTTTTATACAATCGGCATTACCTAGTAGTTTAGAATTGTATAGTATAGATTTTGCGGTTTATGGCGGTAAAGTGCTAAATTTAAAAATATAACCCTTGACTAATCATCAGTTCAGTCCATTTCCGTCAACTTCTATACATAACATGGCCTGTTTAGCACATCAGTTTTTAGTGGGGATTTTTATTTAAGGCATTGGCTGCCAATAAAAAACTGTTGAAGGCAAATCCTCCGCTAATGTCGGTCACCAGTGACTGCCATGGCGTTTAACGTGTTAATGACTTCTCCCGCCTTTGGTGGGGCGAGACATAGTGTAAGACTAATACTAACTAAAAACCACTCCGTTCCTACTCCTGCTTATAGCCGGAGCCCCGTTAACCCTAGGCTAGGTCTTCATATCCAGAATACTCGCTTACCGCTAGTCTAAAACCTAATTCAATTTTTTCAGGTCTAGTAAAAAGAAAAATGCTGGTACTAGATTTAGACGAGACGCTGATCCATTCACATCATGACGCGATGCTGCGGCCGACTGTGAAACCTGGCACACCACCAGACTTCGTGCTCAAAGTTACGATAGACAAGCATCCTGTGCGGTTCTTCGTGCATAAAAGGCCGCATGTCGATTACTTTTTGGATATAGTAAGTACATTTTTATTTATGAACTAAGTTCTGCCCGCGGTTTTGCCCGCGTTCCCGTGGTGAAAAAGTAGCCTACGTGTTATTTCAGACTATAATGTTAAATGTACCCTTGTTCAAAATTTCATCCCGAACCATACATAAGCCGGTAAACGAGCAGACGGATCACCTGATGGTAAGCAATCGACGTCGCCCATGGACACCTGGAACACCAGAGGCGTTACAAGTGCGTCACCGGCTTTTTGGGGATTAGGAGTTTGAGGATCTTTGGGCATTCAGGGATTGGGGGGATTGGGGAAGGGGAAGGTAATTGGGCCTCCGGTAACTTCACTCACACGACGAAACACAACGCAAGCGTTGCGTCACGTCGGTTTTCTGCTCGGCCGTGGTATCACTCCGGTCGAGCCGGCCCATTCGTGCCGAAGAATGGCTCTCCCACACTCAAACATTACTTTGTCAAGTACATTGTTACATTGTCAAGTAAGAAACATAAACACAAACTTTTGCATTTATAATATTACTGAGATGCTAATGTGTTGAATTCTATTAGGGACTAGCTACTACCGCGCAGTTTCACACGCTCTGCTCAACTCCTATTGGTCGTAGCGTTATGTTTTATAGCCTATAGCCATACTCGATAAATGCGCTATGCAACACAAAAATAATTATTCAAATCAGACTTGTAGTTACGGAGATTACCGCGTTCAAACAAACAAACAAAAAAACAAACTCTTCCGCTTTATATAATAGTATAAGATTTGAAAAACCTGTCAGCAAACACAAAAGATTGACGTAGTAGTCTTTCAGAAAAATATTATCGATATACTAGACCATACACTGTTATGGTAAAAACAAAAACTATCAACATTACGTCCAGTCACCTATTTCGTGCCTAACTACTCTTATGCATTTTAAATATAACTAGGTCCATACATCACATCACGCCTTTTTATACCCGATGGAGTAGGCAGACGTACGTTACGGCACTTAATGCCACTGTACAATCTAACACACTTTTCACTATTTATGTTATGACTCCCATGTAATAGGGGGTGAGCCTATTGCCATATACCAGGCACAATTCCGGACTTGCTACTACTGAGATTTTTTTAAAAACCCATTAATATTTTGCCCGATCCGGGTATCGAACCCGAGACCCCTTGCCCGGCAGTCGCACTTTCGACCAATAATATTATGATATTAAATATGTAACTAGGTACTTATTTAATATCTATTGTAAGTAGCTCACGACATTTTGTACCTAATAAGTAATCAACCAAACACGATGACGAAAGTTAACATATAATAGTGCAATAAACTTTGAAATCAAATCAGTGAGTCACGAATGCATTTGTATCTCCATACATTGTTCGCACTCCAAGTTTCCTTTGTATTAAGGAAGAACGAACATAAATATATATGCGCCTGATATATATATATTAGCTATGTATTATAAACAAACCCATCCAATACTAACCACATGTGACGCATGGTAACCACATGTTTCTCTCTAGTTTGTCCTGTGACTATGCTTGTTTTATTCCTTCATTTTGTCGTCAACCGATATCTTACCAATATTATAAATGCTAGTGGTTTTGTGTGTATGTTACTCAATTACTACAAACGGCTTAAGGAACAGATGTAGATTATAGTCTGGTCTAACAAATTGTTTTTATAATAACTATCGTGAGACATACTAAATTAACCAAAAATCGCGGGTTACTCACGTGAATATACTGAGGAGGAGTTATCGTAACGAGTACGCGTTCGGCGCTGTGATTGGTTGCTTCATTAGTGCCGGCCAATCAGATTGGCGAACGCATACTCGTTTCGAATAATTTAAAAGTAAATCAAACTCGTACTAAGGCCTCTAAGAAAAGGCTCTACTAGTTTCGAACCACAGAGGGGTTCTTCCTCATGAGCAGCGTGCGCGGTCGCGGTCGCGGCGATGTCACATGATGATATGTGTGGTTGCTGTGGTTCTAGTAGAGCTTTTCTCAGTCTATTCAAGTGAGTAACCCGCGATTTTTAGTTCACTTAACAAATTGCTATTTTTACCTCACGGGAATGCGGGCGAAGCCGCTGGCAGAAGCTAGTTATTGATATTTTTACGCGTCATTAAGGAAGGTCGTGGAAAGGGATTAAATAGAACGCCTTGAATGAGCCAGTTTGTCCGTACATGCGGAAATTGATTGTGCAGACTCAGCTTTCGTACAAATTGTTGAGTCGCTAATTGATCAGGTTCTTTCCAAGGTCTTGAAGTGAAAAGAACCATCAGCTGATTACTTGTAAGCCCTGCGAAATAATATATCGTTTACTGGACTTCACCTTGGTGCGGAAATCAAATGACTTCGTGGATTTTGCGAATGTTTTCTTTGTAGTCATGAACTGTGTTTAGTGAAAGAACAAAAGAAAGAGAAAGCATTTATTTTGTGCTTACTTCCATCAAAATTATGCGCCTAAATACCACAATAATAGTAGTGCATAC